AAATTTGCATCATTTGCAGACTTAAGTGGAGACAATATGGATGGGGAAGGCTGCATGGATCTGTTGCAAACGTTCCTGTCTTAGCCAATTTTCAACAAGTCCACCAAACTTAAAATTTGATGAGATTTAAATAAAAATTTCACAATTTACAATATTTATCAAGTTCGCAAAATGTTAAATGTTAATTCCTTGAAGAAAATGTTTACATCGAATCGATTTTCAATTTTCAATTAATTTTGTTAAATAACTAATCCATTTTCAACAATCCCGTATAATCCTTTAGTAGGTCTACTCACCATTGAAAGTCATTCATTTTAAGTAAATGCGTTTTCCTGCAACGCAAATTTGAAACTCTTTAATCTTATTTGCACCTAAATTAGGCCTTATTTTGCACAGGGTTTATCGAGGTCTGGAAGGTCTTCTACTAAGTCTTTTCCTACGTTCAGTACATGAAAAAATTACATTTTTTAAGAAAAATGAACTGTTGGAAAACTTTTACCCGGCAGCAATTTAGCATTTATTATTTTTAATTTAAGAACTATATCAAATAAGATTTTAGGCATTATAATCCTGCGTCTTCATGCAGGCCCATATAACATTAACATAATATCAACTGCAAACATTTAAATCAAAAATATTTGGTTATCTTGAAGAACACAATGGAAATGTCCATGCCGGAAACTTTCGATTGTTTTTTGGCACTTTAAATAAAATAGGTAGCAGTAGATATTTTGACCAGCTGAGATGAACTTCTTCAATATCGAAAAGCACACGTGTTTATGGAGAACGCATTGTACATGGAAACTGTATATTACTATACCTGATTATCTTGAAGAAATATGAATCATTGGGTCGTTAACTCATGTAAATGGTCATAAATGAAACAACTTATATTCAATAACACCAGGACGGAAGTCTGCAGCAAATGTCCTGATAAAAATAATCCCGGTGTGTATGTTTTGAATTATTTATTAATATTAATCTATTACATGATGGATCATTAAACAAAAGTGACATTCTACTACTTATTCTTCGTCTATGAGTCAAAGGAAATAATGTTGATGATGTACGCTGATGTAAGATGTATTAATCACAAATCAAAGAAATTTTTTTATTAGTCAAGCATTGTATAAAAAACTAATACAGTGTGACCGTAAAGTACGGAACATCTTAAATAAACTTTATACAGATGAAATAAAATATAAATCTTACGTACTTAATTTTTTTTAGATTATATCCATCCATTTCTAACATTTTTCGTTAAAAAAAAGTTTCTGCTGTTTTCTTTAAAAAACTATACCTAATTAGTTTCTGTTATATCTAGTATCCACAAAACAGTCTCAATTAAGTAGTTACTAAAGTCTTATTACAAATGTTTTACAAAAATAATTATTGCTGCAATAAAACACGTTTTTTTCTGCATTAACAATGTCAATTGATGAATTTGATATTCGTCTTCTACTTGACCATAATAACCATTTATTTAAATAGATTAAATTTACATTTTAAGTCGACTGTAAATGCACAACACTCACATGTTCATTAATGAAGCCACTGCTCCAACATGTTATTGATTAAATAGTAAACGCGCTTTCAAAGCACACGTGTATTTAAAGGTTTGAAATAATAATTTAGAGGTCAAATAAAATTGAGTAAAAGGATGAATCATTTTAAAAAAAGCAAGCCATTCGAAAGAAAATACAATACCATTAATCTCTCAAAGAAACAGGAACAAATTTTTCTTTGTTTGCCTGAAGGAGTTAACATCAACATACCATACGTAATAATTTTCAATATATTTAGGTAATTAATAACGGAGATTTGAGAATTGCGATATATACTAATAGATTAAAAACAAATGGGTCCAAAAATACAAAAGCAAATGAAAAGCCAATTAAGTATGCAATTGCATGTCGCTTCAATCAAACGCAAACAAATTGTTCCAACCATTAGAAAAATTCATAGGAATCTAGAGCAAAATCATCCCTAATTTTCGGAATCTCCAGACAATAAAAACTATTACTTACAACATCAATCAAAGCCAAATGAACTACTACTTAATAAAAAAAGGTTTTTTATCAGTCGACTCCTCGAAAAAACCCTACTTAAATATTCATTCCCCGAATTACATTTTGCGTGGCAAAGAACAGTTAGTTTGCTCGACTATTGACATCTTATTTGAACTCATATCGCAATAATTGAGGAAGCATCAAAAGAAGCCTTCAGAATTTTGGCGATGGCACGAAACGTGACCAACTTTATTTTAGTAGAATCGTCGATAGAAGCCTTGGGTAGGGCAGGGCGGTGTCTTTCACCGCGTGACACGGCCATGCCCTAAAAAACCTAAAAACAGGCTTCAGATACGTCTAAACGATGCCTTTGCAATAAAATACTTGGAAGCATTTAATGACCTTTCAAGGCTAATGATTATCTATTGGCATTGGATTTTAATAGAACTCAATGTTAAATGAGATACAAAAACAAAGTAAACAGATTGACATTAAATATGCGGTATTTAAGTACTCGCAATTAATTCTATAAACAATATTGAAAATTAATTTGTTGTAACAGCAAAATGTACAACGTTCTTAATCTAAACAGTAAATTCTACAATGTCACGTAAGCCCTAAACTGTTTAAAATTCGATTTTCCTATAAACTTATAAGCAGAATCCAGCCTATGGTTTCTTTCTGAAAAAATCAGCGTAACTGATGGATAAATTAATAATAGATTTCAAGGCTTAATTGATTTTTGAAACCAAAAGTATGGCTGCTTTCCAGTCAAGCACATTTGAATCTCGATCGAATCTTAATGTGAAAACAAACACATCCAATGACCTACTCTAGCTACAGTTAGAGGATTTTACAAGGATTTTACTTAGTAGCCGATTGAACTTAAGTTAAAAATTAGTACTTAAGTAAATGCCTTCAGTAAATCACAACAAATATTTTAGGTAAATTCTTTATTTGCTTTCTATACTTTTTTTCCAAGTACTTATGCAGCATCAGATGACAATGATTAAGTAGAAAAATAAATATTATCTATGTGAATATTTAGATTGGATATAAATACCTAAGTATGTACCTAAAATAAAGACAAATTTTCAGGAAAAATCTCACATTTCAACGCAGACCAATTCAAATAAAACTGTTATTGTTTTTAATTGTAATTTAATTTGTTGTTAAAAGTCAATTTGATATTGCAGTTTACTTTAAAATTCCATATGTCCTTTACAAATTCCTGTTCAATGATACCAACCCCATGCAGGTATTGCATGTCCCTACGTGCATTTGAACTTTTAAAAAGATCAGTTTAGAGCTTGAAAAACTACGATTCAAAGACATATTTTCTGGATACAAGCTTAAAGCCCTAAAGTTTCCTAAATAAAATGCACCAACATCAAACAAAGAGTTTGAAAAATAAGCAAATACAAACTGATCTCTCAGATAAAAGTAGCCGTTATAAGAGAGTATTTTGTTATCTAGAGTAGGACTATCAATACATTTTTAATAGACAGTCCATCGTTTCTAATATACTTTAGCGAACAGTTAAGTACGAATCATTAATATTCATTATTAAAACAAAGTTATTAAGGGCTTGATTTGATTGCAAAAATATTCAAATAACTTATGGAGATGAAGGGAAAAACTTAAAATTTTTGTTTGGAAATTAAGCATGTTGCAAATGACAAAGTGCCTCATTAAAGTCATTGTGAATTTCTAGAATTAATAAAGAAAAAAACGGAATTTGTTTTTTTGCACCAATTATATTTTCTTAATAAACCTTGAAAAAGTTCCCTGATCCCTTTTAAATGAAGTAGTATTGCTATTAGATATACTTATGCATAAGTCCTCAAACGAGTGAAAAAAAAAACGTTTAAAACGACGCCCCAATGATGATGAAATAATGGATAGACACAAATCCTTATAACGTACCAAACAAAAATCGTTTTAAGCAGAAGTTAGTGGGATTTCCAGTGAAACTAAATGTAGTAATAGAATTTACTTAAAATACGAAAATTTCTATTATTAATCTTGCAAAGCAACTAAAATGATGTAGGTAATGGGATTAAATCATTACACTTATTTTGCTCTAGAACAAGTATAGTTCTCCATTCTTTGAGCGATTATTAAATAATTTAAATCTGGAAACAGAAATAAATGCTGGCAATCCAGTTTTTAAATTTTTCTAATACTTAATAGCAAAACCTATGTTTGATTCTGTTATATTTTCTTACTTTCTTACTTAGCGATAAGAACTAATTGATATTCTTGGTTGTTGTGCATTTTGAGTTGTGAGCATTTGTTAGCACTGTTGTCAGGAATTGCCCGTCAAAACAACAGCATTATAAAGCAGAGACATTAATACACATAACACTTAAACTAGTGTGAACTTATTTGGTTTCAGCTTACCCTATATAGGAAAGGAGTCTGTGAATTCTCAAAGTATCCTCTGCTCATTTCTTACCAGTGTTACATGCCCGATATCAACACTGTTTTAGCATTGCTGGTAAATGATATTTTTAAATAGTACACCCCGGTGGTCTCATTTTAGCTTATATTTCAAGCACTTTTGCAAGGAAATAAACAAGGTCAACTGAACAAGACCGAATTCACACATAAACCACACGCGAATGTCTTTCACTTAATCTAGTTATGCTTAAAGCTAATAATACACTAAAATACAATAAAAATGCAGAAAATGTCCGTAAATGCAATTACAACAAATGATTCACTAATAAATTACTTTTGTTAATTGATGGGAACAGGGTTGACGCAAACGTCAAAAAAATAAACATAACCCAAACAAACTCATAGACAAAAAATGTTGAATACTTTATTGAATTATCTGAAGAAAAGCTATTTCAGCAGTAACAAGCAATGTTGAATTAAACAAGTATATCAATTATAAACAACATTGTTTTGTTCGAGTAAATGGCTTTAGTGGCTTGGTCGCCACCTATTTGTCTGCAGCGGGAACTGATGATCGACAATCGAACATTACAGTTTGCTTTCTTGCCAATTATGAAGAGTTACCTGTTTTTTTGCTGGTTTTAGAAGATACAGAGTGATCGCAGGACAAAAAATTACATAGAAATAGCCTTGGGTGAGTTTAAATAAGATTCGATCCAATAGATGCATTTTTTAAATCAAACAATTAAATTTTAAGTAAAAAATTTTGAAAATTGTAAAATACTATTCAAAAAATTAGGCAATTTTTTGAAAATTCGGGCCCCTGCGTACGATGTTAAAAATATATGGTAACCGCTTTCCTTAGTGGTGTTTCTTGTGGAAATATTAGTTATCACTAATTAATTTTCCCTACTTTTTCATAACACTATAATACCGCATTTGCGCAAGAAACACCACTAAAAAAAGTTGTTAGTAAAAGGAATATCTATTATTCTGCGAGGGCCTGTGTGTCGAATGTCGAATCGCTTTATGAGTTAATGAGTTATAACTCAGCATTTCAACCAACCCAGGGTTAAAGCTGTACGAGGCCATAACAAATCACCACATTTTGTACGGCTAACTTTTTTCCAGTTTAGCAATATGTCATTTTTAACACGTAAAAAAAGACGACATTTTTTACAAGTAACATTTTATACCAAGTAGGTGACTACACCGGTGCGCTACTGCGCCGGTGCGTTGAGTTGGCACCCCAATCCATTCCGCTTGGTACTGCGCCAACTCTTAAAAATTCATTGACATACCCAGGCCTAAATTACTATATTTCAACTATCATTCAATATGAAAACTAACTTTTTTGTCTGTGGTTTATAAATTCAATTGTATTAATGAAAACATAGTTATTAATTCAATTAATCTGGGGCAATTTTTAGGGTACGTCATACAATATTCTGGCTGGAATTGTTCCTTTTCTTTTGCAGAATGCGATCCCGTGGTTTCTGTTCCGTATTGATTATGGCTACAATTTCAAATTAAAATTACTTTTAACATTAAAACTAATTTGAAACAAGTGTGTAAAATGTTATTATCTCAGTTCGTAATGATATTCTTTTTATTAATGCATTTTTTCAAGAGACATCTAAATTTTATTATCCAAGTGTCTATTATTTTTGTCACAAACCTATTCTAATCAATATTTGCAAGTAGCTGTTTTCTCAGTATAACTATGCGACATAAACGTTTTGTTTTAAGTCGTGTAAATAAAAAGACAAATTTAGAAAAACGTAACTGAATTTTACTTATTTTACGTTAATTTGCCTTAATATCTCGAAAACCTTTGCTCTGAGGGCTTTCAACCAAGTATACCTTTTTTGCTCAACATAGACAAAGAAACAAGAAAAATCAGAAAAAAACATCGGCATACACAGGAGCAAAAACACTACAGCCAATTGAACGCAAATATAGCCTAACAGGCATTGCCCATTGCAAGCAAATCCGGAACAATAATAAATTAAAAATACCTAAAACGCAGACAAGCAATGTTAGGGAAATTTTGTTTGCATTTATTACTCGGTCTGTGAGTCTCAGTTATTTTTCATAATTAAAATTTTGAAAATCATCATACCTCGGAAAGTTTACATTTAAACTTATGGTACAAAAAGTGACAAAATTAATTAGGTTGGTACATGTTCTTCCGGAAATATTTTGGATAAAGCGATAGGTAGCGTTAAACATGTCATTAAATGAAGTTTTTGAAAAATGAAATACTTACGACAGAAATTATCATTAATCACTGCTGCAGTTAAAAATACAATTCGAAAATTAAGACTTTGATGAGTTGTGTCGACAAGTTTTCCCAATATGAAGAAAAATTATTTTTTCAAATTCTAGCTTATAACTGACAACAACAACTTCAAATGATTAAATTACCTGTTCTGATGCCGCTTACTACTGATTCCAAATCAGGTTCTTCCAAAATTCTAATTAAACTCGGAATTTGTGGCATGCTTTTACACAACGCTCGACCAGCAAAAGACGATTCACTCGAGAATCGCTTACGATTTCTGAAAGTTATGCATGATTTAGTTGCCGCTGAACTTCCTCTTTTAGACACATCAGACAATCCGACTACTTTGAATAGTTCGGAATCGGTAGATTTCAATATTTTGAGCGACTCCTTTTGTATTGCACCTCCCACAGGAATAATCTGAGATGCGTATACGCATTCAGTTGGTGATTTTATACTGATTATATCCGATTGTTTACCATCGAGAGCACATTCAGTAATTTTCAAATCTGGACCTGGAAATACCCGTGCTATTTTAAAAGAATTTAACCATCATCTGCTCATCACCAATGGCGTAGTTGTTTGCCGGGGATTTTCCAGACTGAAAGAACATTTCTCCTTGGATAAAATCCATGCGCCAAGTAAACTCTTTGGGGCATCGCTTCAAGTGCCCTAAAGCTTCGGCTGATATGCTGGAGAAACACGCCGATAAATGCGATTCATTTTCATTGAAAGCTTTTTGCAATTCCGGAAAAGTTATGGTGATATCCAATCCGTCTTCGTCTTCATCGTCTTCAACTTTAGGTGGTTCATCAAATGAAGGAATGAACATTCCGTCCATTGAATCTACTTCTTTTGCTTCAACATCGGTATTTATTTGCTACAATAAACAATATAGCAAAAGGAAGGTTTTCGTTGTCAGATTTTGAATCCCAGATAAAAGCCAGAATGAATGCAAAATCAGAAAATGAAAAATATACCATTTTCTGTACTTGTTGCTCTGGCGATTTTTCAACAGCTGTATCTGGTTCAGTTTGTAAACTGTTGTTAAATTTCTTGTTCTTAACTGCACTTTTGGTTTGTAAAAATTTTATGTGTATGCGGTTGTTCTCTTTGTTTTTACTGTTCGATTCGAGGCTCTTTGAAGCCTCTTTCTTCTTGGGAGTTACAGGCTCTGTTTCGACTCTGTTATTAAAAGCTTTCAATTCATCGCCGATTTTTTTCAAAACTATAATACGCTGATATAAATCATCAACTGCAGCCAGTTGAATGTTCGGGTCAATCATTTCAGACAAGTTCGATACCTCTTCGGCCAATCTGGGAAGAATAATTAAATTTTCAGAAAACATTTTAATTGGTTTTATTTCAATTGATAATTGAAATATAAGATTTGCAGATTAATTATAAAAAAGTACCTTGAAATATATTTGGAAAACTCTCTGGATAGTTTTCTATAATGTGTCTGTTTATTTGCGAGCTCATTGTGCACATTTAATGAACACTGTTCGTCCTGCTGCTCTTGTTCATCTTTATTGATTTTGGGCAGAGTTACTTGTTTTACTCGTTCCTCTGGGTGGAAACAAATGTTTCGAAGCTGATTTTTATTGCCCGCTTCAGTCTCATCATGTGACGCGGATATCAAAGAGTTATTTCTTTGAGTTTTATTTAGATAGTGTAATTTTTCACTTCGAAAAGCACTGGACAGTTTTGGTATTAAACTAGGACGAGCCTTGCGTCTTCCTAGATTAATTTTCGGGTTATTTGACTGCAGTTCTGGCGTGGATTTATTAAGATCTGAAATATATGCTGTTTTTATAAAGGTAAAAGTTCGTCCTCCTGCCCGAGCCTGAGAAAATCAAGAGTAATTGTGAGTTTGTATTTTTCTGCATTTATTTTCTTCCCCGAATATTAATACAATTAATATTGTTTCTTTATGGCTTTCCATAGTTTATCCAATCAGTGTTTAATTTTTCCGATTACGGTTACGCTCCATTTGCTTTTTCTTCTCTCTTTCTTTATTACCATTAAACTATTAAACTAATAAAGCAAATGAATGCGGTGAATTAATTAAATTAGTAGTAACACTATGAAAATAAGCGGCAATTTAGAAAATGAAACGCAAAATTTGCGGAACAAATTGAGCGATATAAAAAATTTATAATAAAAAGTCGTATTATTAAAATCAATTGACTACAAAAAAAGAATATGTTTCGAAAGACTAATAAAAGACCAAATAATAAACCGAATGAACCTTGGAAATCTCACAAGAACATTCTTACATCTTATACATATTATTATATTAATAATAACTAAAAGAAATTCCATTGAAATGATCTGAAAATGTTCAAAGACGTAAAAGATAAGAACACTCGCCAATTGTCACAAATTCTCTAAACTTACAAAATTAGAAAAAACGAAACTATAAAAAATATTATTAAACCACAAATTTTCAATTAAAATTAATAAACCAAATTCTAAGAAGCGTGCATGCGGTCTGTATGAGGATGACAATCAAAAAGCTCACGTAAACGATGAGATTTGGTTAAATGAGAAAGCATTTGGGCATTTTAATTTTTTTATCAAGAATTTCATCAGATTTAAAGTTATGTGACAAAATCACCAGAGATTAAACGGTGTTCTAATTAAAAAAATAAAAAGTTGATAAATTTTTCTTTTGCTGGAATATTTCGGCAATTTTTTTTAATGCGCAATAGAAGCCTTAATTTAGTTTGTTACACTCTGTATATGGAAATCTTAGAAAATAATCTTCCTGGCGTTTCGCAAGCACGCGTGGCATGCATCTTCAGAAGCGCGCTCCAATGGCAGTCAAAGCGTAACTCTTTTGCACTGTACATTATCAATGTCGCAATTGACACTGCAATTATTTACTAAGCAACTAATTAGAAGCAAAATCCAATTAGAAATACTAGCCGTTCAAAATATGAATGAAGCAAAGTGCATTTGATTTCTGATTTTAAAAAACGTATAAATAAAATCTAGCAATAGAAAGCTACAAAACTCATCAACTCAACGTTTCCTATAATCATAAACGGAAGGAAATGTATTCGCCGTCCAATAAGGAGAATATTTCCTTACTTGAGCTCTCTTCAAGGCTAACACCTCCGATTTGTTCCACCCTATATAGAGTGTCCCGTAAGCACGTGATCAAAAGGATACTGCGATATTCTTTGCACCAAAAGAAGACGATCTGACCTAACTTTTATTAACAAACACTGTCTGGCTCCTTTGCTATTGATGGTCAAAGTTCTTCAAAAAAAACTATCTTTTTCGAAATGTCGGGAGAATGGTACGATGTATTGTAGTGAAACCCGCTGTAAATTTGTTCTTATGTAAAACTCATATTTTGATGAAACAATCGAGTTTATCCGTTTTGGACAAGTGGAGAAGTTTTGAGGGTCGTGGTACAAAAACCACTAGAACTTTTTATCTGGTGGATGAAATAAAACTTTTTTTTTTTTGGTTAATGCACTAATTATTTGTTCACAATTTTGTGCTCTTTGTAAAATCTTGTAGCATTCATAGTTTTTGCAAAAATATACAGGGTTGCTCATTAGTGCGTCAAAGTGCGATATCTCAGTAAATATGAAGTTTACAAGAAAATTCGTCCAACGAAAGTTTTTCACGTTTAAAAGGTCCACATTCTAAAATTACTTTCCAATATACAGGGTGCATCATAAACGTGTGGTAGTTACCAACTCTGGTTTTTTTAATGAAACCCCTAATTAATGAATGTTATTTTCAGATTGGCCGTTCAATTTTAACTTATGTTTGATTCAACCGTTTTACCTGAAAAATTTACGATTTCCGAGTTATTCGTAAAAATGTGAAAGTTTTGACAGCTACTGGGTTCCACAGAAATCGATGCTGTACACTACCCGCTGCGAATTTTGGAAAACAGTTTTCAGCGATTCTAACAGAACATCATGATCTACGCGTAGATATGTTT